ACTTGCTTTGGCATCCTAGGGATGGGGTAAACTTGTATTTTCTCAACTATGGCTTCAGGCAACACACAGGTCTTACCCAGCCAGATGACCCCTAGGAATTTTACCAACATTCCCAGCCCTTACATCTTGTGGGGATACATAGCCCATCCTCTCCCTTGTAGGCAGATGACTAGGCCCTCTAGACACTCCTGTAACAGAGAAATAACCTCAGCAGTTAACACGATGTCATTAATGCAATGAAACCAATGAACAGTGGCAGGGAAGGGGAGAAGAGTCAGAACTCTAGCCACCATACCATAGCAAATAGGGGGACTATGTAAATATCCTTGGGGGAGCACTTGAAATGTTCATTGCCGCCCTCCTCAGGTGAAGGCAAACTGGTCCTGGGTGGATGGGGCTAGAGGGTTGCTAAAGAAAGCACTGGCAGATCTAACACATTATACATGCCCAGGTCCCTACTAAGGGTTTCTAACAAAGAAGTTATATTTGGGACTGCATCTATAGGAGGGATACTTTGTTTAGTTCCCTATAGTCCACGGTCATACACCAGGACCCATTTGGTTTCTTCACAGGCACACATGGCTATTAAAAACACTGTGGGCAGAAAGATTTGACTGGACTATGGGACATAAAATGATACTTGTGAAGTGTGTGCTTCTTAGCTCAAGTAGATACTTGAGACTAAATGGGCAGCTCCTGTCCAGAGGTGAGATGAGAAGGCAGAGAGGGTCAGGAGCTGGTTGAATGGACACAGGAAATCGGGTGGAAAGGCGGAGTGGGCTGTCACAGTATAGGGAGAGAAATTAGGGTCACATAACAATGTATGTATAAATTTTTATATGAGAGACTAACTTGAATTGTAAACTTTCACTAACGTACAACAATAAGATAAATTAAAAAAGCACTGTGGGCTTCCCAGAGGATACCTACTCTTTTTAATTCCAAAATAGTTTTACTAATTTCCTTATGCCCTCTGGTCAGCTTATATTGCTTGATATCTACCACTTTTCATGAAGGGGTCAGGCTCACTGGTTTCCATGCCACATTCCCCCTTAGGACTGCCTTTACCATCCTCACTCACAGTCAGAATTCTCTCAAAGATGTAATTAAATAAGTCCCATGAGGACATCCACCCCTAGAATGTATTCTGATATTGCGGAAATATAAACTTGATACAGTTTAGGGGCAGTGCATCCTATTTGTAGGGTCAGAAGTACCTGGTGTACACGGATGGATTTTCTGCTGTACCCGTCAATTGCCAAGCAGAGTCTTTGAAACCACTCAGGGCCTCCAAAGATAAGGGTACACTCTGCCCTGGTATGATCTACATGGGGTCTCCAGTCCCCCTGCAGGGCCCTGATCTGTGGGTGACCTCGGCCCCACCCCTAGTCCCTAGGGATGAGCAGATCCACCCAGTGGCAAGGGGCACTTCCTTGAGAGGGGCAGTAGGACCCTGTTGCTCCAGTTTCAGATCCTTCCAAAGACTAACCCAAACCATCTTCGGTTGCTTATCTATCTTAAGCAACCACTCCAGCACTGCCACTCCAGTAGCCACTAAGCCCTCTCACAACTGCCTTTGGGTAACTTTCAAGGGGCCTTTGGACAGTCGACTCACAGATTTCTCAGTCTTTCTTTTCTCTTTTCCCACAGCTCATATCCCCTTCTATTCAGCCTTCTCAGTTTCACCCAGATCAGCTACCAGTTGTCCCACCTAATACACTGTTTGGCCCACTAAGGGACTAACAGTAGCCACCAGACTGCCATACAAGGAGGGAGGTGCTGCCTGCAGGATTCTTGCTTTCATTCCTGCAGTAAGAAGTTCATCATCTGGCCCCCGGAAGTGCTTGGCATAAATGGTGTGAAGCATACCTAACTCCCAAATTAACTGCCATAACTCCTCTACGGAAGACCATTTCCCAGCCATGCTGGGAAGATCCCCCTCATTCAGCATGTCCTTCTGCAACACAAAATGATCCAATCTGTGAGGGCAGTATGCCCTCTGTGTTCTGAGCTGTGTATAAATGCTTCCAAAGGGGTGGTTATGCTACTCATTTTCTCAGCGTTAGCTCCATTTAAAGAGACACCGTCTGTCTTAGTCATCTAGGGCTGCTATAACAGAAATACCACAAGTAGATGGCTTTAACAAACAGAAGTTTATTCTGCATCAATCTTCCCCTGGACTAGTGACTTCTCTGCATGGGGACCCTGGGTCCAAAGGATGTACTCTGCTCCCAGTGCTGCTTTCTTGGTGGTATGAGGTCCCCCTCTCTCTGCTTGCTTCTCTCCTTTATATCCCAATAGAAACCGGCTCAAGACACAATCCAGTCCTGAAGATTGAGTCCTGCCTCATCAACACAACTGCCGCCCATCCCCCCTCATTTACATCATAGAGGCAGGATTTACAACACATAGGAAAATCATATCAGATGACAAAACGGTGGACAATCACGAGATACTGGGAATCATGGCCCAACCAAATTGATACACACATTTTTTGAGGACACAATTTAATCCATGACACCATCTCCCCCCATATCTCACAGACCTAGTAACCAAGCTGCAATCGTTTCCTTCTCTTTCTGCTGGAATTTCCCACACAACTCAGTCAGCTCAGTAGGGATGTACTCCTGCTTGTCATGGAACTGGCTGGTGGGATTTCATGTCTAGGGTCATCCATTTCCCAGGTAGCTTTCACCTTATGAGTAATGACTTGCCGTGCTAGGGAGTGGGAGGGTGGGGAGTTGCTCTGCACTGTCAGACTACTCCTCCACTATCACTTAAACATCTGATTCACTACTCAATTGAATCTCCCACGGATTCCGTGTTTTTGCATCCCAGTCACCTCTCATCAACACTGCCCTAATCCCTGCCTTTGGCACTTTTCTTCCCTGCCCCCAGCTTTACAAACCTACAGGTGAGCATCTCAAATTGCTCATCCTGCTCTCTGACGCAGCTACTTAATATGCAAGTTATTGCTACACAGGACTGGCAAACACCTCTTGCTAACTGCAGCTCTTCCTGCAGGGCTCTTACGCAGCTTCATCAGCTAGCTGGGCCTTGGTGGCCAGCTGAACAGCCCACAGCAGCAGCCATCCCACAGCTGCTGCCACTCTCTTAGCTTCCTTTCTACGCTTATGAGGGTGCGTGTCTTCCCACAACCATGCTATAACACTTGGCATTTTGGGAACATTCCCCTACTCATGTACTCACGCGACGGGTTGTACGTATCAAGCATATGGGCCAGACCTCTCCACATGGAGGTCGCTAGCCAACCCAGGATTTCTCCCACAGACCTCACTCCCACTCGTCATTTCCTCAGTCTCCTGGTTGGCTTGCCAGTTGTCCAGGCATCCACCAAAAAAAACAAACCAAACTCGTTGCCGTCAAGTTGATTCTGACTCATAGCGACCCTACAGAACAGAGTAGAACTGCCCCATAGAGTTTCCAGGGAGTGCCTGGTGGATTCAAACTGCCAACCTTTTGGTTAGCATATGTAGCTGTTAACCACTATGTCACCAGGGTTTCCAGGCATGGACCAGTAATTCGAAATTTGCCTCCAAAATTGGAGGGTGCTGAGAGACCAAATAAAGAGGTGGGCAACTCCTCCAGCGAAGGAGTTTTTATCAGGGAGATTTACACATAAAACCAGTGGTCCCTGGTGGCAGGAGGACCAAAGCAGATCTCCACACCCAGCAATAGGAGAATGGAGGTTTTATAGTGGTCTAGGACAAAGGTGGCTCCATTCCGGAGGGTTACATAAGACTGCGTCAGCAAGGTTACATAACAGGGGCTTGGAAAACAGCAGCAAATTAACAGAAACAGCAGTGAACTAACGGAAAGCATGAGGGCAGCCATGTTCAGCCTCACAAAGCTTGTTTTCCCGTTCACCAGGATACCTGCACAGCCTGCCACAACTACACATGAACAGTATGCATCTCTTATACATTCTGGAGACAGGATATGAAATTTCCTTTTTCAATCTTAAGCCAAGGAGATGGGCTTTATCTCTCTGAAACACTGGGTAATTATTGTCTCTAAACCATAGCAATTTATTTGATTGAGCCTCAATATCAAGAAGGAATAAATTATATCAAACTCTTCAGTGCACCAGCTGCCTGGCCCCCCACAACATAAGTTGCATGGGAGGCAGGGACTTTTGTCTCTTTTGGTCACTGCAGTATCACTAGCACTTACCACAGTAAAACAAAAGACAAACCTGTTGCCACTGAGTCAATTCTAACTCATGGCGACCCATGTGTTACAGGGTAGAACTGTTCCATAGGGTTTTCTTGGCTGTAATCTTTGCAGAAGCAGATCGCCAGGCCTTTCTTCCATAGTGTTACTGGGTGACTTCAAACCGCCAACCGTTAGGGTAAAAATGTATTGCAAATTGTTTGCACCACCTGGGACCTTTTTACCATGATAGGTACTCGGTAAACATTTGTTGCATGATTGAATAAATGAGTGAACGGAGGAAAGTGGGGATTACTGGGATTTTAGGGGCACCAGGAAGCTTTTAATGCCCAAATAATTATTTTCCACCAACAGACTGAAGTCTGTAATTCTAAAGTAAGAAATTAATCTGTTTGGTTTAAGGTTCTTATTTCACTTAAAATGAGAACACCACCAGCATTAGTAAAAGAATAAATTGGTACAACCTTACTAAAAAGCAATTTGGTGGTTTATCAAAATGTAAAGTGTTCATACTTTTTGACCCAAGACCAGCTCTTCCAGAAATGTATGCTCTAGAAATACACACAAAAATATTTATTGCATTGTTGTTTCTAATAGGGGGTGGGAATAACCTAAATATTCATTGGATAGAGGATTGGTAAAACCAATTATGACACACTCATATGGTTGAGCCCCTGGGTGATGCAAATGGTTAATATACTTGACTGCTAACTGAAAGGTGGAAGGTTCAAGTCTACCCAGATGTGCCTCAGAAGAAAAACTTGGTGATCTACTTCTGAAAAATCAGCCATGGAAAGCCCTGTGATGTGCTCACTTTGGCAGCAAGTATACTAAAATTAGAACGATACAGAGAAGATTAGCGTGGCCCCTGCGCAAAGATGACATAAAAATTCTTTGGTGCAGTTTTACTCTGATGCACATGAGGTTGCCATGAGTTGGAGCCAACTTGATAGCAACTGGGTCTGGGCATATGATCAAATAACTGAATGATACACAATCATTAGGAAGAATTACGTAATATAAAAACAAAATGTCCAAGGTATGTTATTAAATGAAAAAAGCAAGTCGCAGAAGGGAATATGAACCCATTTTTATTAAATATATATACGTATATTTGATTATATATGTATATTTATTGTATATATATTTAATTATATGTGTGTGTGTGTGCATGTATCTATGGAAAAAACAATCCCCTTCTTTCCCCAGTATGTAGACACAGAGACTTGGAAGAAGGATGAAAGTTCATCTAAGAACTTAATCAAGCCTCTGTAAACTGGAATCTCACACTTTATGCAGGTGTTTGTAAGCAGAGGTGATCTTGCAAATTATGGGGCAGTTAGGGAAATTCTCTTGGAAGACAGGCCTGGCAATCTGCCTGAAAACCCTAGGGAGCAGTTCTATTCTGCACACATGGAGTCGTCATGATTCAGAATCAAATCAATGGCAACTAACAACAACTTTATAGATTTAAACTGTGTAATCATTAAGGATTAATGTTTGTCTTTGGAAAACGTGTGGATAGGCGTGCACACACATATCCTGAACTGAGGGAGAAAAGATAAGTACATCTGCTGCAATCCACTCCAATGGGGCGGGGGGAAGACCTCAAAAGGGATCCGAGTTGGAGGGCCCACACTCACCCCAGGCCATCTTCCTGGGCCTGGGGGTGGGGGCGCTGGTTCTAGTCGGAGTAACTCTAGGTTTCTGCTGTAGCTGGAAGGGTGAATGCTAGAATGAAACCAAGCTGTGGGCTATGGATAGAATTTCCCAAAAGTTAAGTAGAAAATAGCTTGATGGAGTCAAAGGAATGCCTCAAAGTGAGAGGAGACTTACATTAATAAGTGTCCCCAGAACTATAACATTTCAGGGTCTGGGGCCTCTCAAACAACTGACACGTTGCCAGGAGAATTTCCTTGGACACTGGATTATCTCATGTTATTCTCTAAACTATAATGCTTTAACCCCATGACCCTGTAACACAGAAATTTCAAGCAATATAGGTAGTAGGGAAGAGCTTTTGGGGAAGGGGATTTTAAATCATTGCTTAGATTAATCCTGCCAAGGAAACAGCATGAGTGTTAAGATAGTGCTTTGTATTAAATTGGAATCTGTAGTTTTTGTGCTAAATTATAAATTCTAGTTTCTTCCTAATAGGCAGAAAGAGGATTAGACACCTTTGCAAAACATCAATAACATCCGCAGGGCAAGACTGGCCAAAAGGAAGCAGTACAAATCAACTGAGAGGCTGGACACCAAGAGACTGGCACTTGAATCAAGGTTCTGCCACTAATTAGCAGCATGACCCTGGCTTTGATAGAATATCTATTTATAAAGGAAACATTAGTTTTCTCAAGTATTATCAGTTCCACCTACCTCCCAGGTTTGCTGCTGGGATAAAATAAGACAATATATCTGAAAGTGTAGCCAACACATAACGAGCAGGAATTAGGTAAAAGATTTAAGTGCTAAAGAAGGCTCTTCTTCTGAGTTGAGGTGGGGTGAGTGCAAGCCACCAGCCCCGAGTTTTGCCTACGTCTTCATCATGGCTTAGGCAGTGCTGCCCAATAAAACTTCCTCTATGCTGTGTGATACAGAAGACATTTATTTGCCACATGTGGCTACTGAGCACTTGCAAGATGGCCGGTGCACCTGTGGAGCTGAATTTTTTATTTTATTTAATTTTAGTTCATATACATTTATACAGCCGCATGTGGTTAGTGGCTACCGTGCAGGTAAATTCCTTACTCCACATCTTTGGGAGAAGGGGGCACAAATCTTCAAAGAAAACCATAGAAATGATCTGTGGTTCATGGTGAGGGTGGCCTCCCAGCAGCACTTGGCCTATAATTTATTCCTTCCTTCCCCATTCCATGAGGTCAGACATATGGATCCTTCTAGTTAGCTGAGGCTTGAAATCTAATGATCAGAAGACATCAGGGAGAATTTTGAGACGTGACAACCAAAACAGACTGAGACTAGAATGAAGTGAGAGTCAAGGAAACTCAGTGATTATTAGCTACTGTTAGGTGCCATCGATTTGGTTCTGACTCATAGTGACCCTGTGTACAACAAAACAAAACACTGCCCAGTCCTGCGTCATCCCCACAATTGTTGTTATGTCTGCAGCTACTGCGTCAATCCATCTTGTTGAGGGTCTTCCTCTTTTTCGCTGATCCTCTACTGTTCTGCTGCTATTCATAAGATTTTCACTGGCAAATATTTTTTTTTCAGAAGTAGACTGCCAGGTCCTTCTTCCTAGTCTGTCTTAGTCTGGAAGCTCCGCTGAAACCTGTCCACCATGGGTGACCCTGCTGGTATTTGAAATACCGATGGCATAGCTTCCAACATCACAGCAACATGCAAGCCACCACAGTATGACAAAGTGACAGACAAGTGGTTGTATTAGCTATTACAGGGTCTCTATTATTGCTCATGGTGGGCATCAAGATGAGAAATACCCAACCAATGGTCCTGTACCAGGAGAAACATCTTAGAGACCTGGCTCCTGTCAAAAAAAATGCAGCTTTGATAAAAGACTATAAAAAGCATCCAAAAGGAAGCACACATTACAACTTCAAGGATGGAACAGCATGGGGAAGCCAAATCCAGGCCAGACTGATGAGGTAGACCAAACGTTAAACACAGTGATGAAGGAAGAAACAGAATAATAACAAGAATGTAGCGTTGTCAGTGGCATCACTATGGGGGTGTGAGGAGTGTCGATTGCACCAGGTGACGCTGTCAGAGGGGGTGACACCAAAATGCCTGTCTATGAAATTATTGTACAGTTTCAGCAGAAATTTATTATTTTTTATAAAAATGTCCCTGTAGTTAGTTATAACAACAAAAACATTTTTCGTAAGCCCAGCTTATATGTATCAATATGCCTAAAAGGCTAAAACCATGCTAATTTACTTTTTGCACCTTCTAATGCACTCTGTCATTAATACCCAATAACAATGATGCTTCGAATCAGGTGGTTTTGTCTGCACGCGCTACAAGCACATACTGTTGTTTTTGTTGCGCCAGTGTTTTTACAGTGGCTGATTTTGTCAAATTTTCTGGTGTTTTAGCTACAATATTGTGGTAATTAGCATAAGGGGGTGACACTATGAGTTACCAAACTGGGTGACACCAACCCTAGTGATGCCACTGAGTGTGGCTGTTGTTAATTGTTGTTGAGTTGATTCTGACTTATGGCAACCCCATATGTTGAACTGCTCCATAGGGTTTTCAAGACTGTGACCTTTCTGAAGCAGATCACCAGGCCTGTCTTCCAAGGTGTCTCTGGGTGGATTTGAACCACCAACCTTTCAGCTAGTAGTTGAGTGCTTACCTGTTTGCACCACCCAGGGACTCAATAACAAGAAAATAGTACCAGTAATTAAACATTTCACCTTCCAAAATGCCTGCCCCCACCCCTGACCCCATCCCATGTCCCACTGTCCACAGCACACTAGAAGTGTGGGCATGTCCTGCACTTACTGCTTCTCACCTGGGGAGCAGCCTCCAGGGTACTCCTGATTTTCTAGGGCCCCTGGAATTGTGGGGAATAAAAATCTCTTTTATAAGACCAGGCAAGGACTGACAAACCAAAATAAACAAACAGCTGCCACCAAGTTCATTCTGGCTGGTAAACAGAGGTGTAACTAAGATACGGCAGGTAGGATGCGTGCCCTGGGCGCAGCATGAGGAGGGGTACTAATGAGCAGTTTCTATTGGCCTTTACGGTTTCCGTCAGCCGCTGTGAGAGATCATTCAGCAGTTTAAAACTAATTGCCATAGGTGCTATTTTCCATAGATAGGCCCCTTCTGGTAAATGATTTTCCAGTTTCTGATGAAGAACAGCATATTGTTACAGCAATGAAGCAAAAACACACCTGTGTAGTATTTAACACTGTTAGTTACAGTAGTCAAATAAACTTCTATACCCTTCTCCCATACTGGAGTGTCAGTTCCTTATAAGTGATTCCTCAGTTTCCAAAAAATCAATTTAAAGCTTCCCCTCCAGGTGTTCTAGACAGTAGAAACACCCAACCCTTGGTGGACACAGCCAACCATCCAAACAGGTGTCCCTCATGGGGAGCCTGTGGGGTGAGCCAGGCCACCTGTTACAGAGGCCTCTTACCCAGCTAGCCCATGGACAAGGTTCGTCCCTGATAAAGAAATTACCAAAAGAACCAGTCCTAATAAGCACTTTGAAAGAAAGTTAATCATGCAATACATGTGTGGGCTGTTGTCATTTGTCCTAGTGTCACTGCTGGGAAGGTTTCTGAACAATCTAGGTCAATGCCAGAGGTACATGGAAGAATTGCTAAGTTGTCCTCAAGCCCATCTGCTCTTACTGAATGCCATTAAATGCAATTTAATACATTCTTCATGCAACAATCAGAGTGGCATTTTAGAAAATATAAATCAGATCATATCACTCCTTAGCTTAAAACCTTTCCAATTCTGGTTACACAGAGAATCAAATCCAAATTCCTTCCCATGACCAGGCCCTGTATGATCCGACCACCTTCTGCTTTTGCTTGCTCCTACCTGCCTCTGTAATTTTCTCCTTCTGTTTTATCCTTCGATCACCAGGCTCCATTCACGCTGGCCTCCTTTCTATTCCTCAAACATGGCCTGCCCCAACTCTTCAGTCAGGGAATGGACTGGACTGTGGGACATAAAGCGATACTTGTGAAGAATGTGCCTCTTAGTCAAGTAGATACAAGAAACCAAAGGGGCAGCTTCTGTCCAGAGGTGAGATGAGAAGGCAGAGAGAGTTAGGAGCTGGCTGCATGTTCACGGGGAATCAGCGGCGGAGGGGAGGAGTGTGCTGTCGCAGAATAGGGTGAGTGGTTGGGGGTCTCATAAAAAAGTAGGTAAAAAAAAAAATCTGTATGGGAGAGTAACTTGAAATGTAA